TCATGACTGACAGCATGAGTGGAAAATCTGAAACCACTCAACAACCACCACCAAAAAGAACACTCGTCCGTTTGGATTAATTTTTTTAATAAATCGAGTGCTCATACATGCAAAGCATAAAAGAATTAACAGGAAAAAAAAAATTTAAAAGAGATAACTAACAGAGAATGATAGTGTATGGATCAGCACAATTTAAAAGAGATAATTAACAGAGAATGATAGTGTATGGATCAGCATCAAGGTTTTGATCAATGCAGGAAGCGCGGTGGCAGCCAGCGGATACGCAAAGTAAGGGGATGCAAAAATTAAAATGTCGGGAGAAGTCTAGGTTAGCATTCAATGCTAGAATGCAGCCCACGCCTTTTCTTTCAACCCATCGCAGCACTCATGCTTTGAGAGCGGTAAATTTGTTGTAGGAGAGGTTGCGCTGTAGCGATGCAGTATCTCAGAGCAAGGACAGGGGCCCTCTCCTTTTTTCTCACCCCCAGACTTTGGCATCCATTACTACCACCGTTGTCTCACTCTGCTCAGACCTTTTACTTTATATTGCCATCATTTCCATCTTGATTCACACAGTGTTTCAAATAATTTAAAACTATTGAAATTAAATTCTGATTAATACATGACCAAAAAAATGGGTTTTAGCTTCAAAGATACCGAAACCGATCCGTTTTGTGGAGTTTCTGAGGGCGTATTTCTGGTGGTCGATTACTGAAGAACCTTCACAGGGCAGGCGGGGTGGGTGCGACAAGTCAATCACCACGATCTCTGAATCCACCGTCCACGTACATCTCCGTCTGCTCGATGAGTTCGGGTCACTCCTCCGTGGGGATGCAACAAAAGCGGTTCAAAAGAAAACGAGTATTCTGAAGCGTGTCGGTATATGAGTGGAAGGGGATGATTCGTGCAAAATGCGGGAAGAGATTGGAGGAGTGGAAGGCGGGGGAAGAGGATATGAAGTTGGAGAAGCTTGCGGAGGAGTTCGTTTATCATGAAGGCGGCGTCGAAAGGAGTTTACTTTATTGAGGAAATGCGGGTCGGGTCTTGTTCGATTTTATAGGGTTAGGCTCAGGAAACTCAATGTCGTGTTTGATTAGGCGGAGTGGCCGGCTTTTTTAAAAAATAGTTTTATTTTGTTTTAAATTAATTTTTTAATGTTTTTAAATTATTTTAATTTATTGATGTTAAAAAATATTTTTAAAAAAATAAAAATAATATATAATATTAACATTTTTAAAAATAAAAATTACTTTAAAAAACAACCATTATCGTAATATTACACACTAATTCAGAGATTATATGAGCCTAAAAACACCTCTAAAAAAATAACCTATTTAGAAAAGTTAAGATAAAAAATGCTAAATGAAAGAGTTAAACAGTTAATATGTCATTTTGAATAACATAGATATAGTTTTTTTTCCTGGTGTTTGCTGGTTAATATGTCGTTTTGAATTTTGAATAACGTAGATATAGTTTTTTTTCCTGGTGTTTGCTTCATGGACATATGTTATTTTAACAATCCATTTATATTTTAATATATTTACTATACAATCAATTTACTTGTAAACTAGTGTATTTAAAATTTAATTTTTATACAATGTAATCAAGTATTAATTATCATAGTTAAATATAAATTAGTGAAGCCATAGAGAAGGCAGCTGATTCTCGTTCTTCTTAGCAAATCATAAAAAAGTTAAGGCAAGGTGTGTTTATGGTCTGAATTAGCTCAATTTTCTTGCATAATCATCTGTTTTTAAAGAGGAATTTTTTAAAGATGAATAAGGAACGAGTGTGGGTAAAATAATTCGTTGCTCAATGGCTATTTGTACTTTCTCCATGTTTTAATCTTTATATATATCTAGCATTTATGTGGAATAAAAGCTATTTTACATGTAAATTCTGTTTATTTTTGTGCGTTTTTCAAAAAAAATATTTTTTTATTTGTTTTAAATTAATAATTATTTAATATTTTAAAATTATTTTGATACAATAATATTAAAAATATTTTTTAAAAAATAAAAATATTACTTTAATATATTTTTAAATAAAAAAAACTTTAAAACATAATTACACCACTCTCGATCGCCATTTTAGCATGGTGAAAGTTAGAGTGGAGTTGCTTCATTTCACCTTTTCTTTTACCTCGAGATACTCGACTTTTTGATGTGATATTTTTTCATATATACACAAAAATCTCTTATAAAAGTTAATTGTATTTTAATATATTTAATATATATAACTATTTATTAACCGTGACTAACCACCACAAATCCAATTAAGTTTTTTTTTTTTTTGCATAAAAATATATTAACCAAATTTTTAGCTTTTTTGATCAATATATATGAATAGCCCTCCAACATGTAGATGCTATTTTGGCTCTGTAATATACTTCTTTTCTTTTCTTTTTTAGCTATAACATGTATTGGGATTTATATTATACTTTTTTCTAGCTATTTTAGTTATTTATATTTAGTTTTATTTATTTCATTTCTTTAGAGCTTGTTAATATAAAAAATACATGCATTTCCTTTACATTGAACCTGTTTATGGCTAAACTATATTAACAACAAGTGATTTTTTTATAAATAAAATGCCTCCATGTTTTTTCAAAGACAAAGGCTAGTTGAAATATATAAGGCGTCCAGAGGGGTGCTTGGTTATGATCAATCCAGTACAGAGAACATATATCTGTGAGAATTGAATTCCTTGTATTGGATGATCGTAACCTTGGAGAAAAAAACTTTATCATGCTCTATTCGAATATTCATTTAAGTATTCATTGTCTGTGTATTGTTTATTATTCAATATATAATAAAAAAGGTAATATATATTTGAGGTGTGTATGCGTGTGTGTGACATTTATTGTGCAGTCATTTTATACGTAATTTTGACATTTAATATGTGTGAAACATTGTAAACTAAAACAGCTCAAGGAAGACAGCAGACATTAAAAAAAAAAAACATAATTCTATCGATGAGGTGTCATTTAAAAATTATATTATATTTCTAAATATTTATGTTTAAGTAGTTTCCTTGAATACAAACCAATTAACCATATTCATATTAATTCCATTCCTAAATTGGATAAGATAAAATAAAATTGCTAAGCTAAATAGAAAAAATAAAAACATTTTTTAAACTAGACATAAATAAAAAAAACAGGAAAATAAATGATTTATTGTAAAAATCCTTTGGTGTTAGCCTTATTAGGTTGAAAAATAACTGATGCTCGAGTTTATGATATTGTTCCCTCGATTTCATGAACGTCCAATGAAGGTTCAACAACTTCTTTTCTTTGTTTGCTTAAGGTATATAATACCTTTAGATTTCAATTTTAACCTCTCCATGATAATTTTTGCATAATGAATATCAATTGACCAATAATTTCTTTTTTAGTGGCTTTTGGAGTAATCTATAAACTCTAAACTTGATTCATTAACACGGGTAATATCAGTATAACCATGAAATAGATTTATTTTTGTGATAAAATAAACCTGTAATTAAAATAATTAACATAGCTTAAATTAATTAGAAAAACAAATTTGTTATATGCATTTCATGTCATCTTTGTATTAAACTTTTAAGTTGTTAATAAAAATACTATTAATGACATCATCATTATCATTATTATTAATATTATTTATATTATTATTATCAATATAATTGTTATTGAAATAAACACAATAAATTAATAAACAATACAAATCCGCATCTATCTTATCATACTTTACAATACTCATATATTATTATTAATATAAACACTCGATATAAATTAAAATAAACAATTTTAATTATTTTTAAACATGTAAATCTAACAATGACAAAAATATACTTTTTTATTTTGTTTTCCATTAACAAAAATGTAATATAAAGACAATTACTATATTACATAACTTTGCCAAACACAATTATATATATTTTTTACCCAAAAACAATAACCAGAAGTTACTTGAGTTTTTTTATATTAAATTTTTATTTATCCACAGCTTGTTGTAACCATTGTAATGTTTCATGTTAACAAATGATCAAAAAATAATTTATATTAAAATTTTAATATTACAAATAATGAAATCCATTTTTATTTTGATTTTATAGTTGCGAATTAACAATGGTATAAAACGAAATTTCAAGTGCTGATCACATCACTGGAAGGAGTTTAGTTGATTTAATTAACAACTCGATACAAGACAGGTTTTCATCCCGAGTTTCTTGACACACCCATCGGCCATGCAACAAATATGGACTGAAATTTGATTTGCAATCTCCAGGAAGACCATAGGCTATGCTTGAATTAGGGTTGATCATGTAACTAAAAGAGGTTTAGTTAGTTTGATTAGGTTTTAATCCTCAATGAACAAGCAACAACTATATACTAAAATTTAATTTGTAATCTCTAATGTTTAATTTAAAAAAAGTCTGATAATGTCATTTGAAAGAAGTTTAATTGGTTTAATTAATAACATGATCTAATTAGATTTTGATTTTAAATTTCTTGACCCATCCATCAACAACTATGAATTAGAATTTGATAACATGATCTAATTAGAATTTGCATTTTAAATTTTGATTTTATAAAAATTAAAATAACATATTATTTTTATTTATGAATATCTTTCTTGAAAAAACCTATTTCACAATAATTTTAATTATATATACATATATATTAAATATATTTATTTTAAAAAATAACTACTTTTTTTTAATAGCAAACCCACACTTATTACACAGGTACACAGCCGCAGCAGCATACCATTTCCGCCTTCTCAAATTTTCCATTTCGCGCTCGCCACAAAAAAATGTGCACGGTCTCCCTCCTTTCTTTTCGCTCGGAACTCCAATATTTGAAGCCAAAAGACGTTATGACCTGGTCCCACCGTCACAAAGTCCATTTTTTTTTTAAATCAAATAAAACAACACGTATAATAACAATAATAAAGGTATAAGTTTAAATATAATAACCCCCTATAATAATCATAATAATAATAATAATTATATACAGTTCTCATTCCTTTCTCATCGGTAATCCGACTAGACACGCTGTCGCGTGTGCTCTACACAGCTTCAGTTTCTCTCCGCCACCTCCACCTCCACCGGCCCTTCATTTCATTTTTTTCGGAGCGAGAAATTCAACTGCTACTGTCTCACACACAAAATTTAAGTACTCAGAGTCGCAAATTTTGTTTCGAATCCTCTCTTTGCTTTGCTTCTTCTTCTTCTCCTTCTTTTTTTTATTGAACTTTTGCTCTTTCCAACAAAACAGGAGATAAAACGTTTGAATTTTTAGGTTCCTACGCCTTCATTATCTCAGTCAGGGTTATTCTAGGGTTTAGAGCTTCATTCAAGCCGGTAAAATAGAATTGAGAGATCATCCATTCAAAACTGAAGTGTAAATAGTTTAATTCGGATACATTCGATTCGAATTTTTTTGTGTCGGATTTGAAATTAGGGTTTCGAGTTGAATTATCGGACGATGATAATAAAAAAAATTACGAAAGGCGAAATGCGGCGAGGCAATACGAGAGAGGGGGCTTGTAACGAATTAGACGAGGAGGAGAATTTTGAATACGAATTGATTCCAAAGAAGCGAAAGTTGAATGGATACAATTCAAATTCAATGGGTTTATATAGTGAATTTGATGATTTCAGGAGGGGTTCATATACTTATCGCAGCGACGAATCTTACTGGGCTAACGAAGTTCAGTCTAATTCGAAGAAGAGATTGAAGAATCAGAGTTCGGCGAGCTCTCGAAAGTTGATATCGAGATCTTCTCGAGGGCGAGTGCAAACGCTTCCTTCGAGGTTTAATGATTCGGTTGTGGATATCTGGAAAGGTGAGGAATGTAGAATTGATGATACTGATACGGGAATAGAGGATGGTGAATTTCAAGATAGAAAGGATTTTTGTAGTGAGAAATATAGATATAACAGTAAATTCGATTTCGTAAGCTCTAATTCCTACCCCTTCTACGCCGCGGAAGGAAAAAGAGAAGCAGGCCAGTTAGGGTGTAACGATTTTCAGTATAGAAATTGTAATACTGCAGAGTTTTTGAGTTCGGGTAATCTATTGATAGAAGATGGGGAGTTTGTGCCAAAACATAGGTATACAGGCTTGGATAAAATGAGAAGAGAAAGGGCTCATAAAAAGGACGTTTATAAACCAGAGGATTTTGCTTTGGATGATATAGTTTGGGCCAAATGCGGGAAGAGATACCCATGGTGGCCAGCTATTGTGATTGATCCCATTTTGCAGGCTCCTGATGCTGTGCTCAGTTGTTGTGTTCCTGGTGCTATTTGCATTATGTTTTATGGTTACTCTAAAAATGGAACTCAAAGGGTATATGTCTCTTGCCTCTTCTCATGTTTCTCTCACAGGAGTTTTATTACTTAGTATGGGCGTGGATTGAAGTTACTGATTAATGGATATGTGCAGGACTATGCTTGGGTGAAACAGGGGATGGTATTCCCCTTTGCAGAATTCATGGAAAGGTGTGTGGATGATCATATTGAATTAATGTTATTATAAATTGTTAGGATACCGTTTTTTGAATTCATTTTTTTTTTCAGATTTCAGGTGCAGTCTCAAATGTTCAAGTGCAAGCTGAGTGACTTTCAGGTGGCACTAGAAGAGGCAATTTTAGCAGAAAGTGGTTTCCAAGGCATGGACAGCAGTTGTGCGGAAATAGCATATCCTGAAGCTTATCCCACTCGATTCCAAGAAGCCAGCTGTTCAATTCAGGATCAGGACTTCTACAATCAACAACAGGCAAGTTTAAGTAGTCTCTTTTTTCTGACCTTTCTTCCTGATTCTAGTTGATGAGACTTTATGCATCACTGGGAAATTATATAGTACAAGACAAATATAATTTTATACGAGCTCTCTGATACAGTAGTACATTTGTTAGGCTATTCTTAGTTTGTTCTAGCTTCTTGTTTTATTCTCTGTTTGTGATGGGATTTATAATTTCTGAATGCTAATGAACATTGGGAGATAAATCCATTGTTTAGGGAATTTTCTGTCATGTTTTATCCTCGCTTCAATAACCAAATAAGTCTGGGTATAATCCTCAACAGGAAGCACTCCAGAATGGACAAATATTTGGATAGAAATTATTGTTAAAAACGTGGCTAAAAGTCGAGACTGAAAAAATACTGGTGAAAATGGAAAGGACTGGGCCAATGTTTAATTGCCGAGAAAACTATCAAGCTGGAATTGTTTCAACAAATAACTGAACTCTGTCAAATTACAGTGCACAAGGACCAATTTCATCATTTAATTTTCTCTTCTAAATACTGATACCATAGACATAGGAAATGTCTTGATAGATAGTTTTGTGCTCCCTTTGTCTTCTACCTTTCATATGCTGTAAAATTTACAACCTCCAAAGTGTTGAGGAAATCTCTCCCCTCTTCTTAAAACAAAAATAATACAATATAATGAAAGTCTGAAGCTTCTCTCTCTCTCTCTCTCTTAAATTGGTGGCCTGTTTGTTGGCTGCAGGCTGATGTCAGTGTAAGAAAACACATTCAATTTTTCCTTTGAGCTGTCTATTAGCTATCTGCATTGAAGAAAATCATGCTGTTGGCATATCTTTACACTAAATAGCTGTTACTGGAATATATGGTAGTACTTTGTTCTATTAGCTATCTGCATTGAAGAAAATCATTCTGTTGGCATATCTTTACGCTAAAAAGCTGTTACTGGTATATATGGTGGTACTTTGTTCTCTAGATATTTTTTTTCTCCTGGAAATTCTCTTACAGCATTTGGGTTTTGACTTCGTTTTTGTAAGCTGACCTTTTGAGTTTAAGGTCCTCATAGTATCTTGGTTGTTCAGTTATCAGAATCTCATCTTGTGAATTAATTGTACAGGATGCATGTTATAATGACATGAAAATCTGTGATGGTTGCAATCTAATCTTGCCATGCAAAATTGTGAAGAAAGGGAAGAGATCAACATTTCAAACTGAACTTCTATGTAAACATTGTGCTAAGGTACATGAGAAATACATTCTCTTTGTTATCTTTTGTTTGCATAAGAATCCTTTTCAAAGTGATAATTTCAAGCATGTTTCTTACAGTTAAGAAAATCAAAGCAGTATTGTGGCATATGCAAGAAGACCTGGCATCATTCAGATGGAGGGAATTGGGTAAGATTATCAGTAGTAATTTGAATTAAGTTTGTACTGTTCTCTTGGTAAAACAATCAAATAAATTTTTGGGCATTAAAACTTTTATGTATTAGGTATGCTGTGATGGCTGTAATGTATGGGTGCACGCTGAGTGTGACAGCATTTCCAGCAAACTTTTCAAGGTGTGTCTACCATGTATAGTCTAAATCTAATACATTCTTTTATCTCTTATGTTAGCTTGTGTTCATTCAAAAGTGGAGGCTAACTGGTTTGCTATGGTTTGAAGGACATGGAAGATATTGATTATTATTGTCCTGACTGCAAAGTAAAGTTTAAATTTGTGCAATCAGATTTAGAGAGAAGGAAGCCTCCAGTAAAGTAGGTTGCGCACTTTATTTTTCCTAATTCATGTGATTTTTAAATTTGACATTACAGATTTATTATGGATTTTGTCCCTGGGAAATTTTAATTCTAATGATGTCATTTAAACCAGGTCAATAGAAAACAGTGGACAGGCTGTACCACTTGACAAGGTGACAGTTATCTGCAATGGGATGGAAGGAACATATATTCCAAAACTTCATTTGTAAGCCCTGTAAACTTAGCAAAAACTATGGGTTAGGATAAACAAGTTATCATGTACACCTTCTCTCTCTTTCATTTTTGGGTTGCTATATATGTTAAAGGACCGGTGAAAATTATTACTGTAACAATTAGTTTGAAGTGCAAATCCAGATATGATTAAATTAATCTGATTTAGTTGTGTCTATAGGGCAGTGCTAGTTTATTTTGATTAAAACAAATATTTGGTGGATTCTCTGTTTATATATATATATATATAATCTTGATCTAGTATAATGATGTCATTGATTTTTTTCCCTTTCCCTATGTTTCTAGAATTGAGTGCCACTGCAGTTCATGTGGGTCACGGAAACAAGCACCGAGTGAATGGGAAAAGCACACTGGGTGTAGATCTAAAAAATGGAAGCACAGCGTGAAAATCAAAGACACAATGTTACCACTGGCTCAATGGGTTTGTACTGGAACCTGTCATTTTTTTTAATTGGCTTCCTAAGGTTTGACCTATTTGATTTTGTTTCCATGTAAATAAGTTGCTGATTGTAACATCGTGGTACAGTAGATGGCATTCAAATATTGTAGATGGTAGGGTGCTTGATTCTGGTCACGTTTTCTCCAATGCTGTTGCTGATTCAATTTTTACCTTATCTAATGCAGTGCTATGTCTTGACAGCATTTAAAGAACTTGCTTAAAGAAAAAAGAGCCTATAAAGAACCAAGAACGAAAAAAGAAGAGGAATAATAAGGAATTGATTATATCCTTCATTATACAGCCCAAATTGTTGTCAATGTAGGAATTTTAATTTGTTTATTAAGAACAATGTCAAAGGCTAACCTTGAGAACCTATCAATGTTTTTTGTTGATTATGCTGTAATATTCTGAAAGGCCTTGCCTACTGTATAAATGCTCTTAAAACGGTTATCTTATAAATGATATACATTAATAATATTGTAATTTAGCACTATAGTTGGTATGAAATTCTTAACTCCCTTAGGAGTTGGGATCCATTTCAAGGCCCGGGTTTTTTGAGCTGACTAGGACAATCCAGCGTTCCATGGTTGTTCTGCGAATATGGTCTTGATTGTTGTAGAATTTTCTTTTCTTTTCCTTTTTCTCCTATGTTGTGGTGCATGAATCTTACACATGTCCTTGCTATTAAATTTTCTTTGAACAATATCTGTGTTGCAGATTGCTGAATATAATGCTTGTGTAGACCCTCTAAAGTTAGATGAGCAGAAGCTACTTGCTTTTGTGCAAGGTACGTAACATTCACTACCCTTTTTCTTTTGCTTTAGTGGGAAGAGCTGGTTGCTTTAAAAAATTGGGTTAATTGTGAACAACATGAATTTTTATTTCCATTTCAACAGAGAAGTATGAACCTATTTATGCAAAATGGACATCAGAAAGATGTGCTGTTTGTAGATGGGTTGAAGATTGGGATGATAACAAAATTATAATCTGCAACAGGTGAAGACCCTCAGTCATCATTTCTTTGTGTCTGTTTATTATAATTTTGGTCGGTCAATGAAATTTAAGTTTGAAACTGAATTATGCACTCAATTACAACTGCCTGAGACCTATTTTCCTTTTTTTAAATTTATTTTCAGGTGTCAAATAGCTGTCCACCAAGAATGCTATGGGGCAATTAACGTTCAGGATTTTGCTTCATGGGTGTGCAGAGCATGTGAAACACCTGATGTTGAGGAGTGCTGCCTTTGCCCTGTACAAGGCATGTTCTCAAGCATTGTGTCTTGATAGATCTTAGTAATTTTTCCATCGTTTGCCAAAGTCTTTGAATGACTGAATTGTCTGATTTGCTTAGATTCTTTCCTTTTCTTGAACAGGAAAGAAATATCACTGTGCTGCTGAAAAAAATTCACTGTCTGACTTCTGTACTGTGAAATTTGTTTGATTGATTCCAGTACATAATAGATGATGAATTTGATGAGCATTCATGTTCTGAATTAAGTTTTTTGCACTGCTGACCAAACTACTAAAGCCATCTGTCAAAATGATTTTTTTTGGTGACCTTTTCTGCTTTCATTTTGTAAAGGCTTGTAACCTAATGGTGGCTTGTTTTCTTATATTTGAAACCTGCTTCTTTAGGGGGTGCTCTGAAGCCAAGTGATATTGAAAAACTGTGGGTTCACGTCATATGTGCTTGGTTTCAACCTGAAGTTGGTTTCTTGAATCATGAGAAAATGGAACCTGCCACTGGAATACTTAGAATTCCATCAACATCATTTATAAAGGTACGTTATGATCTGAACAATCAGTTAGAAATACCCTAGTTTTTTGAATACAACTTTTTTCACATGTTGAAGAATGGGAACAGTACTACTTTCACACATCCGGAATTTAAAAGGATTATAATTTTGGTAAAGGGGAATATTTCCTTTGGAGGCTTTTGTTTCCTAAAACCATTTTTATGAAAATCCTTTTTCAGTTTGTTTAGCTTTAGGAAAGTTGGTTAATAAAAAGCAGTTCCAATCAAAGAAAAAACTCAAGCCTTTTTCAAGGGCAAGTTTTTTACTTCTCTCAACTTCAGAAATTTTGTTCCGGATCTTTAACAAAAAAAAGTAAGGTGAAATGACTAAATTACTCTTAATCAGAATTTGATAGATTGGGGTGCTTTTTTTGTATTTTTATATTGTTTTTTAGCAATGACCAAGTTGATTGGGGTTCAATTTGGTATCTTGATTAATATAAAATATAATTTAAAAATAAAAAGTGGTTGGCGTATGCATTGGATGTGCCAATGTGTTAGATGTGCCACCTAAATATGCATGTGAGACTGCATATAGTTTCTGAAGGTGACCTTCCTTGATGAAGTTAGAATCGTCTCAGTGGCTTCTTCCTAGGTAGCAATGTGGAGCATTGATTTCTGGTTTGGCATTTGCTATATTCTCTCTCTTTTCCACCTTTGTTTCTCTCCTCCTTGATTTCAATGCTTGACCTTCTAAATTTTCAAAGCAACTCTTTAGTTTGTTTGTTCTTCAAATTTGGTTATGTTATTTTGATTACTATTTATTTTATTTGAAATAATTTATAAAATAATTTTACTTTTCAATTTCATCCTTAAACTTTTTTGATTAGTGAGATTTTGTCTTTATTTTTTTGATTGCTATTTGTTTTATTTGACTTAATTTATAAAATTAGATTTTTTTCTATTTCAACCTCCAACCTTTTCATCTATTAGATTTGGTTTTTATTTTTTTTTAATAGACTTAAACAAAATTAAAACATTAATAAGTGATTTTTCAGTTCATTTTTCATGGTATAGCGTAATGCCGGAAAATGTTTACCAACTCATTTTTCATGACACTATTGAACATCAGAAAATAATTCACTTTTCGTGAATCCACTTTTCAAAAAGAAACTACTTTCCAACAAACAAATAAACGAGGCCTTAGTCATTAAGGACCAAGGTTTTTGTACAATATGGTGACTAAATTGTTTCTCAAGTTGTTTCTCTCCAAATTGATGCACACTTGCTATGTTGTTATATGAATGAGAGTTCTTTTGGTCTAAATTTATTTTATTTGCTTGCCAGAGGTGTGTTATCTGTAAGCAGACCTATGGTTCGTGCACCCAGTGTTGCAAGTGTGCCACCTATTTCCATGCAACATGTGCCTCACGAGCAGGTTATTTCATGGAGGTAGTTTTTTCTGAATTGTTTTTAATACTCATGAATAATATTTTTTTTTTTCCTGCTGTAGTGTCTGGATTTTATATTTTGCACTGTGCCATACCTTTATGGGTGCTTGCATGTGTCAATATTGTTCTTTATGTTCCTTATGTAGCTTTTCAATTGGAAATTATAAAAGAATAGAATACCAACTGTTTCTGTTAATGTTGCACTGTGAACTTTCAGTTGAACTGCACAGAGAAGAGTGGTATGCAAGTCACAGAAAAGTTAATATATTGTGCTGTTCACAGGTTAGAGCTTTTTCCGTCGATCATCTGTATCTTTAATATCATATTTTTTTTTTCTCCAAATTGGAAGAGGGAATCCTGTCCATCTTGTGTGAACCCATCTAATTTGGATATTGTGTCATCTTACCTTGGTTCTGTTGCAGGAAGCCAAACCCAGATTCTGTTGTAGTCGTGCGTACTCCTTCAGGGATTTTCTCTGGAAGAAGTTTTCTTCAGAATCGGAATGGGTGCTCGAGGGGTTCAAGGTTGGTTTCATCCAAGAAAGTGGAACTCCCAGATCCCTCAACCAGAGAGAGTAATGAATTTGAACCTGTCTCTGCTGCAAAGTGCCGTGCTTTCAAAAGAACAAACTATAAGGTGATTTATCTAGGAACCTTCACTGCTTTTATTTGGCTTTGCTTTCCACTTTTCTTTTGGATTTTTCATCACTCATGTTTGTGCAATCCATACACTTCTTGCAAACATCATTTGTTTTCCATCAAGACAAGTTTATTGGTCCCTTTTATCTAATTGATATTTTTTCCTGTTTTGGCAGGTGTCTGAAGGAGAGCCAATATTCCACCGATTGATGGGACCAAGACATGATTCTTTACATTCAATTATAAGCCTGAGCACCTGTAAAGTAATACACTTGTCTTTGTTGGAAGTTTTTATTTCTTTTTACGAGTTTGACAGTAAGACAAGTAAAAAATTTTGATTTTGGAATTTCATGATCTGCCCTTTCTGTCCTCTTGGTTGGTTAACTTGTCAGTATTTGCTGTCTGCTAGCAGGAAACTGGAGATTCTACAGTTTTCTCTTCATTCAAAGAACGCCTTTGCCATTTACAGGTTCCACCTTCCTTTGCATGAGATAATTGTTTTATACCTGATATAATTGCCATATTCAATTGACATGTATTTATGTCTTCAGAAAACCGAAAATCATCGGGTGTCTTTTGGTAAATCTGGTATACATGGATGGGGCCTCTTTGCACGCAGAAATATTCAAGAAGGAGAAATGGTACTTCATTTGAGTGTTTGGCCTGTCGGTTGTGGTTTGTTAAAGCATCCATTGTTTTGTTTGGCTGGACTTTCAGTCACAGCTTTTGTAATACCTCTCTTGTATTTAAGTTCCCTGGAAGTATTGCTTTCTCAAGACCAGGCGTGTCTTTTTTGTTTAATAACATTCCCTTTTCCAGGTCATTGAGTATCGTGGAGAGAAGGTGAGGCGGAGTGTTGCTGATCTGAGAGAGGCACGGTACTGTTTGGAAGGCAAGGATTGTTATGTGAGTTTCTTGACTTGCTGCTCGTATTTCGCGGCACAGTTTTTATTATGTGACTTAGAAATTGTACTTGCCCCACTTGCCATGAATTTCTTCTGGTATCCTGAAGAACTTTAATCTTAGACCCTGCCAAACTATTGGTAGGCAGATGACCCAGTGGTTGATGATGAGGATGTAGTCTGAATTGATATGTCCCATTCTCTTCCAGGTCTATCACAAGGGATTTGAAAACCAAGACTTGCTATCTGGTATTGAAGGATTTATGGGCAAATTTAACCTCTCTGTACTATTTTGAAATATCAGAACAAATTACGGATAAACAATATAAATAACATAGTTCTGATGTGATTAGCCCTGGCAGAAGATGCCTCAGTTTCCTTTTCCATTCCTTCTCCTTCTCTTTGTCCCATTATACAGCTGGACGTATTGTAATCTGGAATGAACCATCCCTTTATGACACATGCATGAGCATATTCGTCTTGTAAAGTGGTAGAATTTACCTCACTGAACGTGTTTTTAATTATAATGACTTGATTTCACTGTTATTTTTTAGGATATCTGGCATGTGTTTTAGGCAAGTGCATTCCTGCTTGTTTACTTATTTCTATTGTTGGTGTTTCTTATGGTTCAATCAAATATTTCTCACAGCTTTTCAAGATCAGCGAGGAAGTTGTAATTGATGCAACAAATAAGGGGAATATAGCACGGTTAATCAATCATTCGGTAAGTGCAGAACTTAAATTTCACCTGAAACTGGATCTAAAGATACCCACTTACTTTTTTTTTCCTTTAATATTTGTGACGGTTCCATGTTTCTGTTTGATCAGATGTTTGTAAGACCATGTTCACAGAACAGTACATAGTGAAACACTTTGATAGCAACCTGGTACGTTGGATCACAATCCAGCTTGTAGCCAAGGACCTGGGGACTTAGGATCATTTGTCCTTGAATTCCCATGCTGTCTGCAGTACCATATAACTCAAAAGGAAAATGGATCTTATTTGTGGGATTTATTGACCATCGTGACACTTGCCAAATTAAACTGGTCTTTCGTTTAATTTGTTCTTAAGACCTATTATGTGTTATATTTGATTGTACAACCTCAGCCTCACTCCGAGTTAGGAAGTTCAATTAGGTTTACCTGGTTCAGGTTGTGCAACTTATGGCGCATTCCCATGGTCAAACATTTTCTATTTTGTAACCTTATTTAATATACGATTAGTGGTAAAATAATTGAGTTACTTGTTTTCGTTCTTTGTACTGCAATTTACCTAGATATGAAGTGTTCAATTGCTCTTATTGCAGTGTATGCCCAATTGCTATGCGAGGATAATGAGTGTTGGTGATGTGGAGAATCGGATTGTTCTCATTGCCAAGACCGATGTTTCTGCCGGTGACGAGCTAACGTATGATTTAAATAATCTCTTACTCTCTCTCATTCTCTTTAAGTGAATAACCATGGTTTTGATTCAAGTCACTGGTCCTGATATTTAATTTGGCAAGGACATGTGTGTCATTTGTTGTGTGGACAGGTACGATTACTTGTTTGATCCAGATGAACGTGATGACAAAGTTCCTTGCCTCTGTAAAGCTCCCAATTGCAGGAAGTTCATGAATTAAAGCTCGAGATTGACTTTTGATGTATCTGTGTGAAAGCATCAGACTCATCTATTAATCTGCAATGAACCTGTAATTTAATTCATTTACTTACTCTGATAACGATCCCATTTTTTGTAGCTATAAAATGTAAATCCACTAGCTGTTTGGTTGGCACCTTGAATTTTTTTTTTTTAAAAAAAACAACAGCTGCTAATCCTTTTAATCCAAATTGCAACATTAACCCGCATCATCTGGTTTCAACTTTCAGTTCTGTCCTCTTATGGTCGCAGGGGTTGGATTTGAATCTGATTCTGATTCATACTAGTATAAGAATGGATGAGTATTGTGCTAGTTTTTGTCCATAAGAAATTTATTCGGTATATTTTCCATATGAAAGGAGCCAAATGATGGAACAAAATGAAAGTAAGCCTAAAGCCTAACGCCTATTAGCTGGAAATGGGGCATGTTTCAATGAGAATAGTGGCTGTAAATCAATTTTGTTTCTGTATTTTAAAAGTAATTTTTTAAAAATATTTTTTTATTTGTTTTAAATTAGTTTTTTTGGTTTTTATGCTTTAGATTATTTATATTGATGTGTTAATATTAAAAATAAATTTTAAAAAATAAAAAATATATTATATCAATATATATCCAAATATAATAATTATTATAGTAGTAAACTATAATACTAAGTCTGAAAGAAGTGTTTGGAAATGTGATAGTGGCCAGTAATTTTTTAGGAAACATTTTTAATTTTTAAAAATTATTTTTGATATTAGCATATTAAAATAATATTAATTTAAAATAATTTTTTTTAAAATTTTTTAACTTTTTTTTAAAATATTTTTAAAACATAAATAATCTATATAAAATCTAATAATTGCAGTATAGCCGTATAGGGCTGTAATGAGAACCCCATTAGCTCATGGCAACTACATCTGGTGTCTTCAAAAGTGATTTCCAAAGCATTGATATTTTTTTTGTTTGATGATATTAGATAATTTTGATACGAGTTTATCAAAATCATTGAAAGACTTTTGAAAAAAGTATTAATGTTTTGTTAAACAAAAAGTATTTTAAAAAAGCCAGATGAACAAACACACGGCATCTATAGAATTATTATGCAAGTTTACTGGAAATCGCTGATGAAGGCTTAAGGATTTTTGTCAATGGTTCTTAAGAGCATAACCAATATCATAAAGAGTCAGCCTGCATTCATGGATTATTTATATTACAACCATCCATAACTATTTAAAGACTAATTATAAAAAAATATAAATAAAGGGAAATAAAGGTCTAACACGTAAAAAAAATATATAAATAAAGGGAAATAAAGGTCTAACACGCAACTCAAGATCTGAATATTTCAAATTGAATTGAAGTAAGAAAATTACAGTTTTTATCATTTTCTCATGGATGCTGCTAAACAGATTGGAGTTGAGTTTGAGTTTGTGTTTAGGTTTCGAAGTTAAAGATGATCAGATTTAAGTTTCTGTGAGTAAGAAAATCAGGCAATTAATTATTTTGTTTTACACTTCAACTGAGAAGGGTATTATGAGGTGAGTCTATGGACAGAAATAACTAGGTTTTTGGATGGGAAGTCTCTGGCGAAGCTTGGGGCGACTTGCCGATGGTTTCACACCGTCATCATGCATGGCAGTGTATATATGGAAGTTTTCTTGCTCGCGTGATCTTCAAGTCCCAGCCCCATATCAAGTAGCACTCTTGTCCGAGAGGCTCAGCTTGCCACTGAAGATAATTAACAAAGATGATGTAGAGAAGGCCCTGGAATCCTGTGGAGCTTGTGTGCTAAGTAACATCAGAGAAGGAATCTGGATAGCTGGTAACTCTAATTTGGTTTTTTCACCTTAGAAATTTTAGTTCTGAACACATTTTTGTCAGCAAATCTAACAAATTCTGGATCACAAGCCGAAAAAATTGCCATTGTCTTCAGATATGCAGCTTAGTTCGATGCCCTGCTTCTGAACAAGATACATATGAGGGCGCGCTCAAAATACTCTACTGGCTAACTTTAGGAGCTCCATGCAGGTCAAAATACGAGCTAGATTATTTAGTTTAGCAAAAGAATGCCATGCTAAACAAAAAAAAAATATTTCAAGTAAAACCTAGAGTTTATGCATGCTGGAACTATAAGTATGTACTTCACTTTTTATACAAGAAAAGTAAGTGGATTTTATTTTTTATTTGTCTTTAAATTTACACATTAAACATGAGGTATTATGAAGTGAATCTATGGACAGAAATAAGTTTTTGGTTGGGAAGTCTCTGGCGAAGCTTGAGGCGACTTGCCGATGGTTTCACACCGTCATCATGCATGGCAGTGTATATATGGAAGTTTTCTTGCTCGCGTGATCTTCAAGTCCCAGCCCCATATCAAGTAGCACTCTTGTCCGAGAGGCTCAGCTTGCCACTGAAGATAATTAACAAAGATGATGTAGAGAAGGCCCTGGAATCCTGTGGAGCTTGTGTGCTAAGTAACATCAGAGAAGGAATCTGGATAGCTGGTAACTCTAATTTGGTTTTTTCACCTTAGAAATTTTAGTTCTGAACACATTTTTGTCAGCAAATCTAACAAATTCTGGATCACAAGCCGAAAAAATTGCCATTGTCTTCAGATATGCAGCTTAGTTCGATGCCCTGCTTCTGAACAAGATACATATGAGGGCGCGCTCAAAATACTCTACTGGCTAACTTTAGGAGCTCCATGCAGGTCAAAATACGAGCTAGATTATTTAGTTTAGCAAAAGAATGCCATGCTAAACAAAAAAAAAATATTTCAAGTGAAACCTGGAGTTTATGCATGCTGGAACTATATGTACTTCGCTTTTAATACAAGAAAAGTAAGAGGATTTTATTTTTAATTTGTCTTTAAATTTACACATTAAACATGTTTTCCAACAAATTCTCCAACACTCTAAACTATGAGTTTACTTTAAGAACCATTCCATAAATGTAACACGTTATTTGATATAGATGTTTATTTATTCTATTTAGAGTGTATTTGTTTTAGCATTTAAAAATTACTTTTGATATTCTTTGAAATTGTTTTTTGCTTTAAATCATTTTTTTTATAATTTATGATTTTGGATTGTATGTGTTGATGGAAGAAATAAATTTTAAAAAAATTAATTATTTTAACGCATTTCCAAGCCAAAGCAACCGATATTACAATCCTGTTTACCATCTTAAGCCACAGGCCTAATGTATAGAACCATTGGCAAAATGACTGGATTTTGGACTAAAAATTGCCATGCAGGTAACTGTCTGTTGCATTCTTTTACCTTATTGTAATGAAAGAGGTACTCAATACTCGAAGAAAAATTGCTTTTCTGTACAGGAACAATACAGACATTAGAAGCAAGGCATATAGAGCTGTTTCTGCGTGAGGGATTCCGGAATGGGGGCTGGAACTATGAGCTGATTGGATCCTATACAATCAACAAGTCTGTACGTGCAGCTTCTGGTGGCATTTTTTTTTTTCTCTAACACGTCAAGGACCGTGCAATGGCTCGTAAATTTCAACTTCGATAAAATGAACTTTTTCTTAGAACTTGCCCCGAAGGTCAAGAGTTTGCTGTCCATTTGGGTTCTGCTTTTAGTGAAATCACATTTTTACGTTTCAATGAGCCAAATTTTTCGAAGGGTTTAATCGGTGCTTGCGTGCTATCTTGATGTTTAAGATAAAGGATTGTCCATGCCACTTGTTATGACTTCTTATTTTGAGCAATATCAGCCTAAAGGCTTATTGTTCTTGGTATGATGTCTATGGAATTGACAGGCTTGTTTAATTTCAAGTCACGGGCAAGACAAACCAGTGACTTGCAGCCAAAGGCTATCAACACGTTCCATTCAGTTGCAATCCGCACCAATTTACAAGAAAATCAAGGCAAGGCATCCCTAGTTCCATATAATCAGAACTTCCATAATCCTGCCCTTCTGCATGTTGCTATCCATGACAATAATCGCAATCACTTCAATTATATCCCTGCCTCTGCCCTTTCTGATTTTACAGATTTTCAAGCAAACTGAACTGCTAACTTCTTGCTATTTCCTTCTGCCTACCAATCTCTTATTTCCTGGGGAAGCAGGGCTTCTTACGAAGTACTACACGATGAGAGCAGGATCAGAGAAGAAGTAGTTTCCACTAGAATCTCTCACCAGCTTGTGGAGTCCTGCCCCAACACGCAAATCTTCTAGGCCAAGTTTTGCGTTCTTCTCCCAAAGAAATTGCAATGCATTTTCAGTACTGTTACTTTCCACTAGAATCTCCCACCAGCTTGTGGAGTCCTGCCCCAACACACAAATCTTCTAGGCCACGTTTTGCGTTCTTCTCCCACAGAAATTGCAATGCATTTTCAGTACTGTTATTCAAATTCAAAGTCGACCAAAAGAAACCAAATTAGGGCAGGAAGTGGCTCGTTAGATTTTCATTTACACCTGGTTGCTGCTTCAGCGGGACAACCAACTAGATAAATATCTTGTTATACTGTGAAGTTCTGCCATGACCAAAAGTTAATAAAAGTTAAAAATATATACATATATTTGGGTGAAACGATCGGGGTTACTAGTTAGATTCAATTATAATTTATATTCATATATTTCAAGTGTATACATAAAAGTTTCACTATCATTTTCTGACCAGCCAGGTTAATTAAATAGCGAATGGGGTTGTAAGCCTAACCTGTTTTTCTGAGCATATCAGAGAGGCATATCTTAATGTTTTTCCAGAACAGTTTCAACTCTTAAGAAACAATGCGTGTGGTGCACGTAGCCACTTATACTCATGATTTTATATGGAACCTAGAGGCTCCTCCTCTGTTATTTAACTCTGAACATATATAGTTGACTTTCAGGCTAAAGCAATAGTATTTACTTAAAATTGCCGGCACGCAAGTGGCCACGAATGCCTGAGCTCCTTCTTATAATGGTTGACATTATAAATGTTTGTTCTTGTGTGGTTTTAAATGAGGAAAAATCCTAGTGTTATAAGAAGGCCTATTTGTTCCTGAACCAGTCCTTTCAACGCTATGTGCATCTTGGAATTTCTTATTCTCATCAAGCTCCTTCATTTCATCAACGCAGCAGCAGATTGCTCAATCACCGCGTGCAGCATCGATGGTGTCCCTGTTCGATTCCCTTTCCGAATAGAAGGTCAGCAACCTCGAAACTGCGGCTACCCTGGTTTCGATCTCAGCTGCAACAGTCAGAGTTCGACAGTTCTTAAAC